TTAACAATGAAAGGAGCAAACGTTTACTGATAAATGAAGCAGGTAAGGGGTCTCTTTAATTGTTGGTTTGGATAGTTTTGCAATATAGTCAAGATGCAGTTCAAGCATCGCTACAGAAATCTGCCATGCTTTTGTGTTAATGAAGAAATTCAAGGTATGTCATCAAGTGTGGCATCACTCAACATCATTGTAATTACCATCCCAGTACTCTCTTCATGATGACATGGGAATAACACAAAACTTCCAAACCTTTTAGGGGTTTTTTTGCAGCCCACAGCACAGGAGGGTGAGAATTTGTTCTTGGATGTGAGTTAGAAAGCATTCATTGAATTGCAAATGTTTTTCAACAAGGAACCCACAAATTGCTTGTTTCTTCATTTATTCTACTTGCAATTCATCTTTTGCAGCTGCATATCTATGGACTATTGTTTCTGCTCTCTGATGGCCTGGCTAAATAGAGGCATATTGGGAGAGCATCTAACTCAGTAATGCATTGTATCCCATCTAAACATGATTGTGAGATAAATGTATGAGCTGGGCTAAAATACATGAAGCTTTGGGGAAATTTGCAAATAACATCCAGATAATTTGCAAATAGAAAATAATCTGATTCTGAGAACTGAAATAATCCAAACTCAGCCCTTTCATTTTCAAATAGAATCATGCATCATAGTATAAATGCAGGAGTCCGTTTATTTGATGATAGATTTTTTTTTTTTTACCCTAACCCCTAAATTGGCTATAATCGTTTGCGTCCACATGCTTTTTTTTTACCACTCTTCCTCTTCTCTTTTCTGATCCAGCATGGGTCAGAGCAGCTTTCTAAAATGTAAAATGCTTTTTAGCTGTAATTCTTTCCTTACAATTTTGTATTTTAGAGATTAAACCAGCATGTCCAATATGATTTCATCCAGAAGTCTGATTGCCACATTTCAATTCCCAGCATGTTGAGAGACAGGCCTCATGGTAACTGTGAGCTTTTTATACTGGACACCTAGTCTTTGATCTTCATAGCACAACGCATGGAGTGCTGATCAGATAAGTTCATGGAAAAACTGCTGAGCAGGACAGTCCATGTGAGGAAACGTGAGCTGTGATGGTGACAGATCTGCTATGTGGCCACCAGCTTTTTCCTGCTTGGTAGCTGCTGGGAGAGGGGACCGACTCCTCACTTTGCATAAGGTCAAAGGCAGGAAAGTCCCTGTAAAGTACCTGTTACCTGGCCAGGCACTGCTCTTCCACAGCTCGAGGTTTTAGAGGCCGAAATGGGGCAGACTCCTTCCAGCAGAAAAGTACGTGGTGAACATTGCCTTTTTGGTGCCTTTACAGTCTCTGCTCCCGCCCTTGCCCCTCTGACTGTGTGGCATCCCTGCAGGATCAAGACCTTGGAAAAAGAGCCCGGAAAGAAGGTAGGACTGGGGTATTTTGGATATCAGCCTTCAGACAGTAGTCTGCTTGCTGCTTGACCCTAGGGAACTGGATAATTCTAATCTGCCTAAGTGCCCAATCCATACAATGTCATGGTATTGTCTTGTCTCCCTTCAGGGGTGTTGTATTGATAGTGTCTACTAATGACCGTTGAGTTCCCAGATACAATGGTAAGGGAAATCCTGGTCACTATAAGGCAGAGTTCAGGGGGCACAGTGAATACTGGCAATTTTATTTCAGTTCAGACAGATCATGTTAAACACCAGGAGGATGGCTAGAGAGCATCCAAGGGCAACACAATCATCAATATATATTTCAAGTAGGATGTTTATATGGGTGAGATGGAACCTCTGATAAAATTGTGCATTTGGTCTTGTCCTTCCATAGTATCAGCATAGGGTTTAAGAAAGCACAGGCCTCTTAGATGACAAAGAATTGGGATTAGGAGTTGTGCACATGGGGGACTAAATGCCCTGAAGTGTTGATTTTTTCACATGAATCTTCTAGAGGACCACCAAAAAAATGAACAGAGTCCTTCAGGGCACCTGCAGTGCTCCACCAGTTTCCTTTCATGCAAGTCTTCATGCACAACTTCTTCCAGGATAAGTTTGACCTTGAGAAGGAAATTTTTTACTAGACAAAAAATGTTGTTGCTTGGCAGATGACAGAGAGGTCTATTACACTTGCATAAGCTTGAAACTGAGTATACAAACCACTTGGATTGACATCTCTTGCTCTGCTTAACCACAGCTGAGTACCCTTTATTGTTGAGGCTGGTATCTCTTCATGCATTTGGTATCATCTTAATCTCTCTTCTTCCTCCCCTTATGCTATGTCTTTGTTGATACCCAGTCCTAGGAGAAGACAGCACAACTGTAAACACATTCACTACACTCTTGAATCCCACACTTTCCCTCCTCATATCTCCTTTTACTGCATGGTACCTGTGTTTTGTTTTCATTTCTTTGGAACAAGCAATAAAGCCTTAATTTCATTCAAGGAACAAAGAGGAGAGCTACTGTCACCAAGCCACAAGTTTTCTGGCAGAAGCCACAGAGGGAATGCAGGCAGCCTGGGTGGGTGCGAAGCCTTCACCCCACACCAGCGGAGGAAAATTCCATATGAAGTTTTATCTGCTGATGGATATGGTGTGTTTTCCACCATCAGAAAGTTTGCCATCAGTTTTGGATGGCTTTTATGAAATGTTCGTCTCATTCTGGTATGTTGAGCTGAAGTTTGTGTACCCTGGGGTGGGGACAGAGGGTCCAAAGACCTCTGCTTGAAAAGTAGTCAGGGTCCCCAAAGTAAAAATAGCTGAAAATCACTGTCTAGTTAAATCACACATTATGGGCTTGATGAAGGAAAGAAATCCTTTGGTCATGCAAGTCTCCATAATAAAGCATCCAAATCTATAAAAAGGGATTATTTGTTAACAATTCAAAGCACTGTAACTAGTCCAAAAGAAATGCTGATCTTCCATGTGGAAACTGTGGGCTTTTCAGTTGTACTTCTGTCTTGGTTAGCAAACAAAAGAGCAGCACTTCAGAGTGACCTGACAGCTTCTGTGAAGAGAAAGTCCTGGAGAGTTTGAGGTGATAAAGAAAGGCCCAGCAAGAAAAAATAGCCATAACCTAAATTTCAGGCAACTAAGTGTGAATAGGGCAGCAATAGATGTGATTCAGCTTTGATGACAAAGGAAGGGGTAGACTCTGAAGCCATCACCATTCCCATATCAAGACCAAAGGCATCCTCTGCCTAGTCCAAGTCTTTGCTGTGAAGACAGGGTAGCTGGGTGTAACTGGATAACAGTTTTGGCATACTGGTATACAGTACGGATGTCTTCATGGTCTCTTCTAGCCATAATTCCATTAGTCAATAAAAAACAATTATTGGACAGAAAGTTAGTATCTCTAAAATACCTTTTTTTAAAAAATTTTGGTGACAAAAAACTCGTTTTCAGTCAGAAGCCAGCTTCAAGAACAAATTCTTACCATGTCTTCTGCTCTACAGAAGATCTTCCATAGTTAATCTCCTCCTACTCCTGAACACAGTGATTCAAACATGTTGCTACAGGAAAGGAGTGTTATATGAGGGACCGGTCCCTGTCGAGGCTGGAGCTCACCACGCTTGCTGCAGGAGCATCCCAGCCTGGCACAGCAAGTACCATGTGCTGTGTACTCTTTCCCCAAAACCCTCACACTACGTTTTCTTAAGGAAGGTTTCCACAGAGATGGAAAAGTTACAAGGAAAAGTACTTTTGCTCACTTTGTAGCAGAGCAGACCAGCATAGAAGACAAAAAGAGCTCTCCTACAAAACACCAGCCAATACCTGATGTTTCAGATGGTGTCAAAGGCCCTACCTCCTCTGCCATAACATCTCCCCTCCCTGAGGGCTGTGTCGAGCTCAGAAGTGTGCAATCCACAGTGTACATGTCCTTCAGGCTGCTCCTGAGGGCTCGTGGCTGTTCAGCCCATGGGGGATGCTCCATAATCTGCTGACAGGTTCCTCCAACACCCTCTTAAAGGCATATCAAAGCTTTCACCCCCATGTTCTCACATACTCCTAGTACCACACGAGACTACGTCTCTCCTGACAATTGGAATTATTCTGCAGATTTATTTGGCTCAAGAAGGTCTGCAATAATAAGATTAAGGTATATATGCATCCTATAGAGAAGGACCCACAGATAGGAAAAGGCTGAACATGGTCACCCCTGAAGGGTGAGCATGGTGACTCTGAGTGAGGAGAGCTGCCACCCTGTTCAAAATTACTTCCCAGGCTCCAGCTAGGAACCAAATCCAGACACAGTGTAAGACTGAGGGGCTGTGCTTGTATTGCAAAAATGCATGAGAGATTTCTACCACCCTGCTGCAAACTCACACCTTGATCAGTTTTGATTTAATGAGCCAGGGCAGTAATTCATACAACCTATTTTATCTGAAACATTCCTCCAGTGTCTTTTAAATGGAGGCATTTACGCTGGACTCCTGAGCTCCAAACACACAAACACAGGCCACTTAATTAACCACATGTCCTCACAACATCTCCAATACTAACATGATGGCATTGGGGTATGTTTCAGTATTTTTATAGGCTGCAGGCTATCACCTAGGGCAAGTGACACTGATTGGCAGCAATATACTCCACCACATTCAAGTAGCTTTTCAGTAGCTCTTCCAGTTTCCTAGCAACGAGGCCAGCAAGAAGACCTAAAAGTCTTTCTTAACAAGCTCTGTTTGTCCAGAATATGCACTTATTGCTGCATTGCAAACAGCAAATGATCTCCCAGGCCAGTTGATTATTAATAGAGGGAAATGCAGTGGAGAGGTGTATTTCAGGAAGGACTATCCCTGCAAATTTTTTAGGCAATCAAGTATTTGTCAGTGCAGGGCATGTGGATTAGAGAGGGACACAGATGCCCTAATTTCAAAGCTTTGTGTTTCTCTGTTCCACTGGACTTTTCTAACATGCTCCAGGGTTGTTTCTGTGGGGTTTTCCCAGGCCACTGTTTGGTTATAGGAGAGATGCTGTGTTCTCTGCTCCCCTTGCAAGGCCAGTTTGCTGACTCCCACTGAGTTCAGGGTGTAGCACAAGAACTCAGCAAGCAAGGAACTTGTGCATTGTTAAACACAAATGTAAGAGTGAGGAAGCCACCTCAGGATTTAAAGTGCATGTGAGTATTAACTCCTTTATTTCTTTATTTCTTCTTTCAGCGCTGGTTTATACATCTAATTAGCTTCCTTTCCTCCGCCCATTTTTGAGGTTTTTTGTTTGGTTGGGTTTTTTGTTGGTTTTTTTTTTTTTTTTTTTATAAGCGCAACTGCCATATTTCTTTTCCTGGCAAATGGATGTGTTGAAAGACAGCCCTCCTCCACACAGATAGATTTTTTTTTTTACTACATCCACCTAGACATGATACACTCTGGAAAGATATATGTAGGTCTGCCCCCCAAGCATTCATTTCCTTTTATGGCTCTGAAGGGACAAAACCAGGTGACATGCTGAGAAAGTTAAATGCTGAAAGTTTCCAAGAAATGCTGGAGAAGTTGTGCCAACAATTATAGACATATAGAAGTGGAAAACAGAGGGGTAGAGAGTGGCACATGACCATCTGCCAGTGTTGGAAAAGCATAAACACTGAAAAGAAATAATAGGAAATTTTTCAGATGCTGTGAGAGGGTGCAAGTGGTAGCAGCATGCCAAAATAAACAGAGGCACATGCTGGCTGATGAGTGGGACATGCATCTGACTGGCAGCCCAAATCCTGAATTCCCTGGTCACTACTCCCCCAGGCAGGACTGCTGACGTGCGCAGCACTGGAATTCAGAAAGGATTAAAGCCATTAGAATTTACCCATATAAGAATATATAATATCTGAAGAGCAGACAGAGAGTTGGCTTATACTACTTTTGCAGTGCTTAGCGCTGGAATAACTCCTTTCACTTTAATGCACTTATTCACATTGATTTATGCAGGCATGAGAGGAGTCTAGCCTACAAAGCTCAAATAGATCTTTTAGACCATATCATTCTGCCAGAAAAAGTCGTAGAATCCCTCATATCTATAGGAATATATATGTGTGCCTGTCGATGTATATTTAATTTTCCATTTAAGGATACTCATATCACCCTTCTTGGGTATCCTTTTAGAAAGGAATAGCAATTTGAGGTGTTCTCTGTTGACTAAAAGAGTGCATTGGTGTCACGATTAGGTACAGATGACTAACTTTTAGATGAATCAGGTAGAGGAAGGCAAAGTCCTCCTGTGGTTACACACTTAAGTTTCTTTTCCTGAAAAATTCACCCAGCTGACTTGAAGTTGTGAAAATAGCCAGCAGATAATAGCAGGAGTATTCTGCTAAATCAAGGTGATACAATGCAGAGCCCTTTGCTAGGGACTGAAGCAAGCAGAAGATATTTCCCCCTGTTTTCTGTCATGTGCACTAGCTCTCTGTAATTCTAGGTGTTGACTATACTCTGCAGGTGCTCATTTCTTTCCCCTGACTATAGCGGCAGCCAGGCTGGAGCAGCATTTCTAGGCTGTTTGCATACAATTTTAAAAATTAAAACAGGAGGAAGAAACACACTTAATAAGATTTGATCAGACCAAGCAGGGAGGATAAAGCTAAAATATCCCTCACCTCAGATGTGGATTTATTTTTCCATGAAATAAAAGAGCAGGATGTTCTAAGGAAGTTTTCATGCCAAAACTTAAGTCTGGACAGTCCTTGAACAGCAAGTGATAGCATAGTCAAGATCCAAAGGCAGCTGCATTTTGAGCTTATCTCAGTACTTTGGGAACATCTGCATTCTTTATCAACATCCATAACCAGTAAAAAGATGAAGCAGTATTTCTGCAGCTGCAGTAGAGTGATGTAACTAGCATACATTTAATTTTATTTCAAATTTTGGCTACCTCTCATGCAGGGCAATGAGGGATGTTACAGATGGCTAACATGCAAAAGATAGTCAGGGGTTGTGGAGTGATAAGAACTGAGTTTTTCATGTCTCACAAGTCCATAGACAGTAAAGACAGTGAGAAAAGAAAGTCCCTCACATAGGTATTCATCTAGAGTGAAAACCCACTCTAGTGTTCACTGGTAAAGGCTAAAGAACAAGGCTGCTGTTATTGTACATATGGAACAAAGGAATACTTGAGCATTTACTCCAGTTAAAATAAGAATAAACCAAATATTGTGTCTAAACTTGAACTTGAACTATAGATTATTACTGTGATCAGGAAATATGTGATTGAGAATTAGTCTGCTTTATTTTCCTGCAGTCAGGTTTCGCCTGTCTACACTGAAATACTGATAAGAGGGTTTGATCCCATGCTATTTCTTGCCTTGAGGTCAGGGAGATAGCCATACCACATGCTAAGCTCTTCTAAGTCATCATCCTTTTGAAGTTTGCCCATGCTGATTTATCTCTCAGTCCCAAAAAAGCTAGAAACACCATAGTACCTGTCACTTCTGTGATCCTCTTGATAAAGATAATAATTTTTCATTTCATGAATGCATTTATTTAGGTGTCTGCCAACACAAAGATGGGATAACCATCTCTATATCATATATTGCTTTGATGAGACTTTAAAGGACTTCTCCAAGTTCTCCAAAGACCAATTGTAATGAACACTACAGTCCAATTCAGTATGAGATTTCTTCACAAGCCAGAAAAAAAAAAAGAAGTGCCCAGTTTATCAGACAGAAAGAAGGCTCCTTTTGTTAGTAATTAGCCGTCACTGTTCCTCTCTTTTTCAGGGCAGGATGTCTTAAACTATTATGTCTTAAACATCCTTCAAGAGGCAGAAACCTAGCACAGGGCCAAACATACACGTGGTTCCTGTGCCTAAGTGTGCAAGTCTGATCAATGGCGATGTAGACTGCTAATGAGCCACCTCGTTAGCTGCACGCAGGAATATTTACCCAGGAGCCAGGCACCACTGTGGTAACCACACACGGAAGCACAGCAGCAAGTTGGCGAGCCCTGAACCGTCCTGACATCCTACCAGTTGTAAACTTGCCCCCTTAATGCTGTTGCATTAACACAGCAGCACATCATCAAGGTGTGATATTAACCTGAATCGTTTCCTCCTCCACCACCAACCTCAGCCACCTGGCTGCATGTGAAAACACAGCTCTTTGCAGCTTTTCTCCCCTGCCTGTGTTGCTCTGTCTCTCCTCCCAGGTCCTTGTTGCAGCTCTGTGCCTTTTGGTTCTGTGAACATAATTCTGCCAGGACCGAAAGAGTTCCCCCAGCCTGACTGATGCTCAGAGAAGATATATGTGTGCTTATTTTCAGAGGTTCACTACTCTAATGGTGAATCAGGTCTGATGTAGACCCTGGTGCACTGCAACTCCCGATATGACTTGGCAAAGTAATACAGAAGAACCCATGCCTCCCATTGATTGAATTTCAGTCTGACCTCTCCTGCCTCTTCTCTGGTAAGACTTTTGTTCATCTTTTTCTGTTCAGTATTATCCTCCTTTGATAGCACCCGTTCCAGTCTGCCAGCAGTATTTATTACCTTTTCCACAGTATGGCTGTTTTCAGTTTTCTTACATTTCCAATTATACAGCACAGTTGCCATTGATCTGTTTTCTGTTAGCATGAAAATCAGAGCTGTGATCTATATAATTTAAGACTCTACCTTCATTAACCTTCCTTTTGTTTTTAAGGCAGGCTATTTAAATTGATCTTTATTAAATAAAATTACAAGAACTATCAATCCTCATGCTTCATGGTGTAAGTTGATCAGTGGCTAACTCAGGAAGTAATTGCCAGAGGACCTCTTTGTTAAGATACTGTACAGTTAGATGTGTTTCAGCAGTTTTATTCCTTCTGATGAGTATATGGCCATCTTCAGGGACAGTATTCTGCATTTACTGGATCAGTGGTTAATTTTAATGTAGAAGAAAAGAGCAACTGGATTGGATGGTCTCCGGCTATAGCAGCTCATCTCTTAGTTGCCACAGTGGCTAGCACTTCAGTGATGATGTATTTCCAGGGCCAGATCCTTCAGTGACAAACATCAGCCCAGATCCGTTGCCTTGATGTGATGCAACGATCCTCAGCTGGTGTCACTTAGCACAGCTCCATCTGTGTCAGTGGTGACCTCCTTTATTTTGCCCTCTCCTGTTGCCAAATAGAAATAGGTGTGTGAATGATGAGCTTATTTATGAAAGGCACTATTCTCATCCCATCTCTCCAATTGCAGGTGGCAGCTACTGACTGTTGTGATACTTTGGTTTTATACCAAATCAGAATCCTGTACCGTCCAGGGAAACAAAAAAGCTTAAGCTATGGGATATTTGCATTATTTAAGATATCTCCTCCCTTGTGATGGTTGTATGTATTCTAGCTTCTTAAACTGACATTTCACATTGTCTAAACATATTTAGACACAAGATTTCACAATTACAAGAAAGTTGCTTTCAACATCCTCCTACTCTCATTCAGATCCATTTTCTTTTGCTCTCATGTTCTTATCATATTTAAGAATTCTGTGTAAATGAGCATTAATGAACCAATTTTAAATTATTTTTCTATGAGCAATTTCAGCTGCAAGTCGCTTGATTATGTGAATCCAAATGATGGGGGTGGGGAGAGGGAGAGCATAAAACGTGTCTTTGCTACAGTAACCCGTGACCAATTTAAGTGCTGGAGCAAAGGTAAATGCAGGAGGGTTGAGCTGCCACTTGAACACTGCCTGTACAGCACTGCATGGAGAGGAGATGGTGCAGGACTGTAAAAGTCAGGGAAATGCACAGGATCACATAGGGGTGGGGAGGGGAGAAAATTCTCTATCTCTCTACTGATATTCACCTCCCTGCACTACCTCTGCAGGACGTGGCATTGGTATCTGCAAGCCCATCTTGTGCTTTTGGATGGGGAAAGCAGCTAGCACAACCACTGGCTGGCAGAGAAACAAGCATTAGGTGGTTTGTGAGATGGGTGCCAGCATGGATGGAGTGGTGGGGGCACAGGGTGGATTTGTGTCGCCATGGACAAGCTGCATCAATCCTAGGTCAGAAGAGATTTAATAGCTATGCCTGTAAGGCACAGTAGCATGTAGGGACTGACAAGGCGATATCTTAAAACCTTATGTGCAGCAGCTGTGCACACTAATATATTGTTTTCCAATGCCAGGTATATTCTATATTTCTAGCTCTATAAATTTCAAAGTTAATCCAGAAATGAGTTATTCAGCATTCCAATAAAACGTGACTACCTTCTGACAGCTTTGTTCTTTTCTTTATTCCTGAGGCACGAGCAAAGAGAGGCTGGTCTGCTGCAGAAACCAATAACCACAAGTTAAACCACAAGAGTTCAAAGGGCTTGGTCCACCTCCTGTGGCAGTTAATAGGAGTTTTCTACTACTGAGGAACAAAATGGGATCTGCCCCACAGCAGCTGAATGTCTGCAAGGGGCAGAGGAGCCTGGATGAGGCTGAATCATGGCTCCAAATATCTTTGAAAAGGAAGATATCGGTCTCTTTCCAAGTCTGGGGCAGTTTTCATTTTGTCTTCAAGTCTAAGGATAGGGTTTAGTAGAGTAGACGTTGATGACTTTGGGCTTTAATCACTCTGCAAGGGAGGGCTGTCTGGTGGTTGCAGAAAAGGCACTGGTTTCACAACTCCTGGGTTTTTTTTTCCTTCAGTTCTGCTGTTGACTTTCTCTCTGACCTTGGGCACATCAATTCTTCCACTGAAGTAAGTGGGAACTCAATTGCATTTTATGTTTCTTTATGAGTCAGATTCCCTTTCTGCAAAATGAGGATCATAACACTTAACTACCTCTCAGAAGTGCTCTGAGGCCTAACAACAAATTAATGTTTAAGATCCCTGGATTTTGAAAAAAAAAAAAAAACCTTTACAGATATATGAATTTCAGTGAAAAGTGTCAATTTGTTGAAACTGAAAAGTTCTGCAGATGAAGATTGTTTTCAATGCATTTCTTGGTTTAGGAAAAAAAAAAAAAAAAAAGATTTAGAGCATCATTTTGAAAGGGTTGAAATGCCCTGTTTCAACATTTTGGAAGTGAAATATTTTTGGTTTTCATTTTGAAACTACTTTCCATTTATTTTTTTCATTAGATAATGTGCTATAAATATGACACAAAATCAAGGCAAATTGAGGCATGACATCTCTGTTTGTTAAAAGTGAACTGTTTTGAATTACCTGAAAGGACATTACTTTTTTTTTTTTTTCTTAATTTCCTCTGCAGAGAACTCTGACATAGCCTGGATTTGTTCTGACTGAGCATCTGGCCCAGTTTCAAAATCCACCAGGAAATGGGACTTTTATGCTCCTTAGAACCTGTGAGGGCATGAAGACTCTGTGAGACTTCTCTGAATGTCACACGGGGCTGCTATCCTGAGAAACTATTGTGCTAAAGTGAAAATATCATATCACAAAGACACAAGGCCATGGGAAGAAGTGAAAGGCATGATCTGAAGATGTCCAGTTATATGTAGTTGTGCCCACTGGACACCGATTTACATAAAACTGCAAGTATTTAAACATTAGAGCAGTCTACCTTCAACGGTTGCAGAGTCTCTGTCATGGGAATATTTAAAATTACATAAGACTTTTGTAGGAAAGGCATAAGTAAAGCTGACCCTGCATTGAGCAGGCTGAGGGATAGATGAACACCTGAGGTCTCCTTCAGCCCTGCATGTTGATGCCGTCATTTGCTAGGGCAATATGATGCTGAGTCCAGGAGTTCCCCTGGGAGAAGAGGGACTACAGCAAGGAGGAAGTCAGGAAAACAGAGGAAAAACTGAGTTTTAAAAGGGCATATATGAGCAAGAGAGAATGAAAGAGAAGCAGAAGGGGAGCTGGATGGAATTACAAGGCACATCAGCCAAGGGAGAAAGCCGGAGATAACTCAGAGGAGCACAAACACAACAAATCCTCAAAGCAAAACTAAACTTGGCTGAAACTTTTACCCATAATGACCCTTGTGCATTGGATGTATAATAATTTTTAAAAGAAATCAACTACTAAGAGTTATCCTTCTCATTATGAAAGTTTCTTCTCATGTCCTTTGCTTTCCACTCAAGCTGCAACATCCCAGTTCTCACTCACATCCCAAATGTAGTTTTAATTTGGGCCCCCTTCGGTGTTCATTTGTTGTTTTCTCCTATGCCAGCAGCACAACTGCCCCAGCCATTCACAAAGCATGATCAAACCAGGGCTGTGACTGTGTCCCTTAGATGAGAGATCTCCCAGGCAGAACACAGGGACGTTTATCACAGCGAGTGGCTGATCCAGCAGAGTTCAGTGGAGTTGGACAAGGACCAAGCTGTGAATTATGCCTTATCTTTTGTGATGCCAGCTGCCAAACATCTTAATAGCAGGCAGCCCAATTTAATCTTCTATTGTAGGTGATGCAAAACGTTGCCTGAGAGATGTGGCATGAGTTTGAATAGGTGCAGCTCCAGTGCTGCTGTCCCAGTCTCTCTCCATTAGTTCATACACCTTAGTAATATCGTATCAAACGCTGCACACAAGCATCGTGGCCAGAGATGCATGACAAGGGTCTCCCTGCAGTGTAAAGGCCACTGGGCACTTGCAAACTGATTTTAGCTAGAAGAAATGTATCCTGTGGTTGCACGGTGGAGTTTTCTGATGCCTACATAGAGTCAGCACACCTGCATGCCTGTGTTACCACTGCCCTCTCATCTCAAAGACGGGACATCTCAGTGGCCCGTGAGCTCTGTGACCTACTTACTAGGTACTTACTAGGATTCTCCTGGAAATCAGATTAAAGGGGGCAGGGTGATCTGAGCTCTATCTCTGCTGACACCCTGAATTCCCACTATTTATCAGCTTCTCTTTAAAAGGATTTCAGATTGCATTTCCGTATCTAGCATATGGAGACTTTCATTTATTTGACAGGTTGATTCTTTTATCAGACATTTATAAGGATTTACAATACTAATGCACTTCGCATGCAGTATTGGATTTCACACAGAAAAAGTGCCAGTAAAGGGACAAGTCGTCCTCAGAGCAGTTTTCCGTTCTCTTTCTCATTCCACCTTCCCTATGCTTTACAGAGGCAGGTCAGTACAACAAAGGCTGTGAAAAAACTAATGCCCTTTCCAAGAATTTTCTGCTGGGACGAGTGATGATGGATGCAGGCTCCTTATTAGGGCTGAGTACATGAGGCTCTTCTCTCCTTGTGGTTGCGCTCAGAGGGATGGGGTTGCAGACGGCGAGGAAGCCCCTGCCGGTAGGGTGAACAGCGCTAGGCAAAAGAAGAGGAAGATGCAGGAGATCTGCAGAGAGAAGACAGATACTGGCTTTGCTTAAAACTGAGAGTTGTAAAATAAAATCCTCCAGGACAGAGCCTGCAGGGCAGGGATTTCTCCTTTTTGACAGCCTACAGTGAATGAAGCACAAAACAGCCTGCTGTCTCTGCAGACGGCAAGGATGTTTGGAGACGTCAAACTGTAGTACAGAAGATGCACAAGAGGAATGGAGACACAGCTAACTACCTCCCAGACTTTTGATTTCTTGTTCCAAGCGGGAGATCCTGAAATCATGCAAGTTTTTCTTGTGTCCCTGTTAGAATCAAAAATCTAGTTTCTTTCTGCTTTGGGGTAGCAGATGGAAATAAAGCTTATTTGTTCTTAATTATCTGCCCTTGTTTCAGATTCAAAGGTGCTTGGATTCAAAGTCTGCATATTTTCAGTCCTAGCAAAGGGCAGGGGAATAGCAGTGGGCACAGCCAGGCATAAAGTCAAGCTTCCCATTTCCAAACTACATGTAAAAACAGTTTCTCGGATGACTTCGGGGGTTTATAAGGACAGGTTATTTCTGCTGCATAGTTGATGATTTGCCTAATATAGCTCCAGTCTCATACTGAGATTTGCTTGCTGACTTGACAGTTGCATTTGGTAGTCTACAATGATCAATAACAGGTTAGCTTTGGTAATGTAGTTTCTTGATTTTTAGTTTGAGTTGGTTAAATGCATTGATAGAATATGTAAAGCATCCAGAGGACCATTAGGCTCAGTTAGGACCCTGGGAGCAGATATTCAAGAAGGGGCTGACCTAAACCTCTGCCCTACTCCCTGGCTATCCCTGCCTAACTGACCGCTCAGGAAGAACAGGGTGCTGCTTCATGGCAGCAGACCCTGCCATCGTCCTACCCCTTCCATATTCATGACCGTGTTCCTACTTGCCCTTGGGCAGACACCCAGTGAACTGGTTAAGGGAAGCAAGTCACCAGAAAAAGTAAAAAAAAATAAAAGGTTTCTGTGACACTTTAGCTTACCAAACTGGCTCAGAGGATCAGATGTGCTGATTCTAGGGGCAGAGCAACAGCAAAGCAGGGCAGATTTAGAGAAACAGCCACAGGATTGTACCAGCAGAGAAAGATCCTCTAGGATAATTACAATGCAAATGCAAAGTGGTTTGATGAAACTGCACTAACCATTTATTTGGATTTTCTCATTAAACATTAAAAGGGTCTTCAGCTGGTTAGCATCACATGATGCTGCCGCTTGAACTGTGAATGGCCACATCTACTTGGGGCTTAATGAGGTTTAATTAATTTATAGCCACACCTTACTTCCCTGGTATTAATTTATCTGCAGATGCCTACATTGCCTTTAGTCTCTCATTCAGATTGCAGGGGTAAACGATGCTTTGGATTAATGCATAAGAGTCTTAGTGAAGTAGGGTAAGGGTAAGAGATAATGTGATGAGTGATTAGCCACAGCACCCACTAGAACTAGTACTAACTTGACAGAGCAAGCAGTGAAAGGGTTGCAAAGAAGGGTCTCATCTCTGGTCTGCACAGGGCAGAAGAATACAGAGAGAACTGATGCTGCCAGCACAGAGCCCCTTCTGGAAACTGAGAATATTTTTGCTTTTGCAAGGGGATGATTTTAGCATCCTGCTATGTCCATGTACTGCTAAACAGACATGAAAAGAAAGGAGCAACAGGGGAAAGTTTCAGGGTGTTTAAGAAGGAGCAGTGCCGAAAAGGCCATTAAGATTTTGGTTTAAACCCACTAGTATCTAAGAAACTTGCAGCCAAGTGCCAGCCATCCAATATGCAAGCACAGTTGGATAATGTTAAGGGTGATGGCTAGCTGTGAACAGATCCTGGGTGCCTGTTGTTTTGCTGTGAATTTCCATGCTTTTTGGAGAGTTTAATTCAGAACTTTAATGGGCTTTTGATGTTGTTTTAGTTTGGTGAATAGTTTCCCGTTGTATCTGCTTATTCAGTGAAATAGCGAGGAAGCGCTGTTACAGTGGAAGATGACAAGAGACTATCTCAGCTGCATTTGCACAGCAGAAGCCTTTAAAAATCACTGTGCTATGAACAAGACATTTCCATATTTCACGGCTATTTTTGCTGGATGCCTAAAGTTGATGATACAGCAAAAAAATTTGAATGAAGGGAGAAGGGAAAAAACCTCCTTCTGCTGTTTCTTTCTTTCTAACAATTTACATCTCAGCCATGTTGCTTGGCAAAACCAACAGTGAAGTATGTTGTGGCTGTAAAATGATAAGCACATGGGCTACACGGAAGATGTTTCCTCCCTGGTATTTGGGTAGGAAAATGGGAATTCATTTTGAAGTGCAACATTAGCCTCATTTTTTGCTTTGCTGCTCCTCTCTACACACGAGCTTATCAGGGCAGTTATGTCTTTTGGGAGAAGAAGGTCAGAGGAACTCAGGGACATTGATTATCAATGTGTGTTCCCACACAGGCATGTGGCAACAGAGCAATTAACCCTCTGCATGCCTGAAAGCCATCATCCCCTATAATCCCCTTACTTATTCAGGCCTGCAGAGATCTACCAGGCTCCATAGTTGATGGTGTAAGAAAGCATGCACAAAATAAAGCCAATAATGGGGAAGGGCAATCCTATTAAGTGCTGCTTGGTGAGTCTGTGGGACATGGCACTAGACTAAGGAAGCTAAAAATAATAAAAGGAAAATAGAAACAGAACTTCAAGGAAAATTTACTGCTGTATTAGTCTGTTGTGTTTCCAGAGAGGCTGCTCAGATCTCTGGGATATTATGTCCTTCTGTGATGCTGTGCCCAAAATTATTGGTTGATTTTCAAATCTGTAGGGTCTGTTTTTTGCTTCTGTATCATTTATACTAATTATCATCTGTGACAATTTCTTAAACACCTTCCGTGTGTTTGGCAGTCTTTGTCCCACTATAAAAGACATAGAGTATACTGACATGCTCAAATAAAAGGGCATGCTCCTCTTCAGTTAGCTCAGCTCTTATGGCACCACTAAAGAAGACAGGTTGGGGTGTTTTCTCCAAGGAGGGATTTGAAAAGACTTTTTGGAATGTGACTAGGAAATTAACTCATGGATGATGGAAAAAGATCCCATCCATGCCCAATAACAGTGGAGACTCCCACTGTGCTGGGTGTTTCGAGCCTGCTCTGTGACCACCTGGTCATTAGGCATGTAGCCCAGCACCCCAAGGGCCTTGCTTGTGCACCACAGAGAGCAAACACTGCTCAAGAAGCAGTTTTTAACCCAGATGTAGTGAAGCATCTTGTCCTTGACCTACCTTCAACAGCCATGAAGGGGATGAGGTTTTTCCCTTAGATCAGCAGACCAAATAAAAGCAGAGATCTGCAGTTATCTTTCACTAAAAGATTAAATTTTCTCTGGGTTGACGTTATTACAGTGACCACAGGCATCCCCAGACTGGCTAAGGGGCTGCCAGTGGGGACATAAGTTTAAACTGCAGGTTAAGACATCGGACTAAAGAAAGCTGTTTCATCCAAAACTTTGGACTCTGGGGCTCAGGCATGTCTCACATACCCCACGGAGGAACCAAGCTGGAGGCCACAGCACAAGGCTGGCAGTCAGAAAATCAGCCAACTCCTCCCAAGCCGCTGAACATCTCTATTGCTCACTCTCTCCGTCTATAAAAAAGGATTATAGCACTTGTCTCAGACGGGTGTGTGAGGATCTGTGGCTGTAATAAACCTTGCGGCTGTTGGCTGGAATACACCATACCAACACTCACTGTTGTTACTAGGGAATTATTCTTTGCATATGACCAAAACAAGCTGAAGGAGATTTTGAAGGGTAGCTCCATGCCATATAAAGTTACGGTGTTGTTGGCTCAGGATAAGCAAAGGGTTTGAATAAGTCAATCTTCTATCAAAGGTTGAAATACAGAAAAAGCCCATTTGATTGTTTTTTAATAGTGGCAAGATCACACAATTTTTTTCTTCATACGTTTTTGGTTCTGGGAGCAGTGAAAGAGCATTAGAAGTACTCAAAACACTGGAAAAGCAAAGAGAACAACTAACATTAATCTTGCCCTCGACAGAACAATGCGAACGAAGGCCACTTTCATCAGATTTCCACTATGTTCATAGGAGAACTGGGAGCAATTCTGGAAATAAAATCCAAAATATGGGATCTGTTGCAGATTGCATTTTCTGAAATATATGCAGAAGTTAGCAACTCCTCCTGCAGACTGAGGTGGAGTTTGTGGAAACAACTAAAACTTTCCAAGTAAAACTTTCCTGGCTTTGACTCTGTTTGGGTCAAAATCTGGGGGATTACTGGAGTTTCCCCAGGCCAATAGCAAAAGTCAAGGGATGTAAACTCACATGAAACACAACTGCAAATTATGTTTCATAGAGTCGTACCCTAACACAGATGTGTCTAACACTAGAAGATAATCCAAACCCAGCAAAGCCACTGAATCCTTCCTTTCCCTTCACAATTCTTGTTTTGATTCAAAGCTCTCCCTAGGCTAAAAGAGGTAAAGTTTAAAATTAGGTCAGAGCTCTGAACTCCCATTAGAGACACTGAGGTCACTGTGGCTCTTACCAGAACAAAGTCTTTGGCTGCAATCAGAACACATTGCATACTCAGAGAGGAGCTGGTCCCCTGTGCTACAGCAAGGATTCACTGGCCCCAGAATGGCTGTGGTATAAGGTTTAATCAGGTTAGCTAGGTTTTCTCTCTTGATTTCACAGCCTCCATTCAGCACACCAGATTATAACCTTTCAACATGTAATTGAACCTGACTCAAGGAGCCAATTGTATTACAGTGAGCTTTAAAAGGGGGAATGGCAAGGGCTAAAGTTTTCATTCAACGAATGCAATTTCTATGCACAGAAATCAATTCAATTGACATCAGTTGAGCTTTAATGCTGAATTAAAGAGCTGCCAGGTTTCCCCCATGGGGCTTTTACAGTCCGGGTTTTATGAATTCATTAAAATGCACACACAAACTTTTAGGGAAATAGCATTACACTGTAATAAGAGCTACAAATCGACCATATTCCTCTGAGAGAGAAGTCTAATTTGAGTTGCCTAGTTGGCAAAATTGTTTTCCATTGCTTTGCATTTATTAGCAGAGGGTGTCATATTTTCCGTTGTTTCCATTTTGGTTTCTTGCTGTTTGCTTAGCAAGGGAGAGCATCATGTTTAGAAATATCAAGGGGAGATTGAGTCTTTTGAAAACAGGTGTCTGAAAGACTCAGTGGACACTTCTACATTGATTGATGGTCTCTGCCAAGTGGAAGTTGGAGTCCCTCAGCCTAGGGTGGAGGAGACAAGCAGGATGTCTGCAAAGACATCTGTGCTGAAGGAGAACACAGCTTCCGTGAGAGCTGAAACTAGATCTGAGGCCAGTGGAGAAGTGAGAGCACCAGACATTTTAGAAGAGTATCTGGAGTTTCAGTGCCCTTCCCCTCCATTAATCTCACAAACACACTGAAAAGGAGCAGCCTTGCAGCAGCC